CCCAGATACTGGTCGACCAATAGCACCACCGATAGAGACCGGTCATGGGTGGGTTTGCGCTGTCAGATACTCTCCCCAAGGGGATAAATTCACGAGCGGCGGAAACGACAAGGTGATCCGTATGTGGTCAAAGGACGGCGAGCTGCTCATGGAGATCGAGGGCCATGACAGTGTGGTGTCATCGTTGTGTTGGTCCAAGGACGGCGCACACATTTTTTCAGCGTCCGTCGATCGCACCATCCGAAAATGGCGGTCGATTGATGGGAAAGAGCTCGTTGTTTTTCAGGGTCATACCGATCCCGTCATCTCCCTTTGTCTTTCTCCTGATGAAAGCCATCTTATTAGTGCATCAGTTGACCATTCAGTTCGCATCTGGGACCCCAAGACCAATGAGCCAGTTGGAGACCCGCTCTTGCACGACGACGAAGTTTGGGCTGTCGTCATTTCTGCTGATGGAAAATATATCATTAGTGGTGGATCAGACGCAAAGATATATGTATGGAACCTGGAGGCAGCGCTCAAACATGCAGGCGATGATCATGTGTGTGTTTATTCTTTGTCAGTATCTTTTCTAAGTGGGGTTTGGTTGTAATTCAGCTTGCGATTGAAGCAAAACCCGATGCGAAGCTCAAGGCAAATCGTCTGCGTTTCTCCTTCTTATGGTATCTTACTTGTTTACCAGGGACGTCCAGTTCGATCGATAGATACTGTGCGCCAATCAGTTGTCAACACCCTCCTCGTTTGCTTATTTGTCTCATCAGATCTTGCACACTGGTCAGGTCTCCAAGAAGCAGCCCATCAACAGAGGCTTGACGAAATATGTCAGTATAATATTTCTTTTTCTGGCTCTCCTAAATTTAACACTGGTACAGGGCAACGGCTTCTGGGACGCTGATACCAACATCGAACCCCATCCCGCAGCTCCTCCTGTGAGCCCTTCGTCTTCCCTTCGTTGGCGCATTTTGCTCGGTTCGCTGCGTTTCAGCACTCAACCTCCAGACGCGCTACAATCAATCCCGCTGCAGCCCCGGCGTTGGAATTTCAACTCATTTTCAGAAGGAAGCTCGATACGCACCGTTGAAGTAGCTGCTGGTCGCAAGAAAAATGTGAGTGGCTTCCATCACTCCTTTTTGATGTCATGGAAATTAATACATTTGCAGAGAATTTATGTTTCCCCTCCCAGCGCAGCAGAATTGGCCCGCGCAGAAGCGGTAGCAGCAGCAGCTGTGCAACATACGAATAGCAACAAGGCTGGCAGTTTGACACAAGCAGGTCAACCTCAGGCTGTGTCGGGGACACAAGTGTCTCAAGGACGCCCGACGGAAACGGAAGGTGCAGGTGGTGGGACGGAAGATGTTTTTTATGAAGGAGTGAGCTGCTGCGGATTTTTCTTTGGTCGTCGTCGTCCCACCTCGCATCAGTCATGAGGTTATCTACTAAACTCTCTGTTGCTTGATAATCCTATTCTGTAGTAATTTGGTATTTTTGTTAATATGCGACGAAGCTGTCCTGTCTTCGATCCGGATTCAAAACTGACTAGAACCAGAGTCCTGTACCCAAGCTAGATACGGGTACCCACTTGCGAGCCTTCCGTTTGATAGTTCGCTTTGAACTGCATTTTTGCTAGCGTGGCAGCACGATGGTGAATTTGAGAAGATCACGTCGGATCATGATAAGGTTGAAGACATGATGGACATCAGGTACTGTGGCTGTAGCTGTATGGCCAGAGTCTTCTAAAGATCTACCAGTGATTTTCGTTCGTACCTCGACGATCGGACTTGTATATTATCACATACTGACTTAAGAACATAACATTTAGGGTAACTGAGAAGCTAATCGCAGAAATCAACATGAAATGTAAGTTTTCTGGTCTGCACTCAGCAATCCCATCTCCCTCGCCATTATCTGTAACGCAATGAACTGGGAGTAGAACCGTGCAGCAAAGAGATCGCCCTCTGCAAACCAGAGTCCATTATCTGGAGCAGAATGTCAGTATCATTGAATCGCACAATCAAATCAACAGAATACTGACGTCCAGTCGGCCTCCAAATACCCGCGAACTCATAATCACTATCTAATCCTCCGACGTCATGGACGGTATCAGCGACCTGAGGCCCAAAAAGGTTCTCAGCAACTTGTTTTATTGTAGTTTTTTACCTGTAAATGATGCGTTAGAAGTGCGTGATCAGACGGATAGATGTTTAAAAGACTTACCCAGTTGCGAAGATGACAAGGTCGGCCACTACTTGCGAACCATCATCGAATACCAACCCGGAAGGGGAGAAGTGGGAAACCTCATGTCCCGACTTGACGGTAATCTGGTTGCTAGTAAGCAACATGCGTGGGGGAACTCAGCAAAATTGATAATACCTTGCCAGACGTGATGAGCTGTGCACAACCCCGGTCGATGTAAAAGCCACCTGGAATGTCGGTGAGAAAAATAGAACGATACAGAACAAAAAAACTTACCTCGTCGAATTGAGAGACGGTGAAAGAAGTTATCCTCAGGGCCGGGAAGGAGATATCCATTCCGGGACAAGTTCTCCCTAAGGTCCCTAAGGAAAAAGGGTGAGACGAAGAAATTACTTTCGAATGTTGCCAACGAACTGATCGATATGGGCATGCATCTCCATAGCGTTGTACTTGGAATCTTGCAGAGCTGACAAGGGGAGAGCGACATATAAGCGGTCGGCGATCTCTGTCGGAGGAATATCCTGCCCGACATATCCTACGAGCAAAATCAATATAGATATCTCCGCAGCAGTACACTGAGATTACCGGTAAGCAAGCTGTTGATCGTCTGGCGACTGACAACGGCGGTCGGGGAACGCTGGACAAGCACTGTCTGAGACCCATGATTTGCCACGTCCTGAGCAATATCGTGCGCAGAGCATGCTGCGCCAACGACAACGACTTTCTGCGCACCGACGCAGGAGGAGGACTTGTATTCGCTTGAATGGATGACAGAACCGAGAAAGGAGGTCTGGATGCAGAGGGTCAACGTCGATGGAAAATTAAGTCCTGTTTACGTACTTTTCCCGGAATCGGAGGCGTAAACGGGAGTGCACCTCCCCTCGTACCAACGCCTATTGCGCCAATAAGGTGCCGAGCCTTCACAGTAATAGAGGCTTGCCCTGAAAGAGATACAGATAATGTCCAGGTACTTGACGAAGCATCATATGAAGTAGCAGAAATGTGTGCTGAGGTCAACACGTGAAGACCCAGAGTTCTTTGGTAATTTTCAAGATAATCAGCAACATCTCCGCAAGGAATATATGTTCCGGATCCCTCTGGGAAATCGACGAAGGGAAGATGGTCTGCTGGCACATTAGCATAGGATGAGGTTGGCAGTTCTTCAGCTGCACGTACTGAACGCCTTCGGAGTATTCGTCTCCAGTGAATCGTATCGAGAACGCCAACTATTGCCGATTCTGCCAGACCTCTCCAAGACAAGTGTAGAGATCCCGAGATTCTCCAAACGGGCGGCCACGGACAAGCCGCACTGACCTGCACCCACGACGACCGCTGTGTACTCCATTGTAGTGTTCCACTCGGCAGGACGACAGAGAGGCGTGTGTGCATCAAAGCGATCGACCACGCCGGACAACCGATCCATCATGGTCACGAAGGACCAAGCCTTCCATGAGGAGTCCTCGGTTTGAGTCAAAGTGAATACGGCAGAGCATTGGGCTATGACTGTATCGAATTGAATGATTCCCTGGATGAACGTCTTTGTAGGACTAATGCGCCGATGACGAACACCTGGCAAGAGTCGGAACTGACTTGGCCGTGCAAGGGCAACGGGAACTGAGAAAAAATGCTGCATTTTTGGAAGTGAATGCAAGGTGCGAAAATCAGGGGTGAATGCCAAGATATCCCGCCAGTAGCTGTCGTTCGTAAACGAGCGCTTGAGAGTAAAACTGGGACCGGATATGTCAGAAATAAAAGCAGCAAGCCACGCGGAAGAGATGGCCTCTGATATATCCAACAATAAGTGGACTTGAACTGATTTTGAAAGGCAGGCTTACCTGCAGACAACGGAACAGAGAATGTTTCTGAGCCAGACATATTTCTTGAATGGTCAATTAATTGAGCTTGAGTTATGCAGTTAGAATCTCAGAAAGAAGGCTTTTATACGTCTCGGTCCACACAGGCTGTACCTCCTTCCTTGTTTTTCTTTGCGATTTAGCCACGGTCTCTTTCGTGCCCCGGTACCTGCGGCTGGGGACCTCAAGTATACGGATGCATGCATCCTTCCGATCCACAAGGCGGTAGGACATGACGGCCCTTGACTTGCTAGACAGCCGGCTTCTCCATAAACCGATTTCCTGAGCGTTTGAGTTGCGCGCTAAGGAGATACGTACCAATAGCTGTTGTTGGCTGTCCTTTATACCTTCCTTTTGTGTTCTTTTCATAACGTCACAGTTGGACAGGGATCAGTACCGAGTACCGAGTACTAGGACTTAATCTGCCTGCAAGGGTAGACGACATTGGGATTGATGCAGTGAACCTATACTTGTGAGGAGTTGAGTCATGGTTACGGTCGCAAGTAAGCATACACAAACAGGCGTGGGCCATGGCGCATTTCGCAACGCGCGACTGCAATATCTGTTTGCTATCCCAGTACTTACCCTGCCGGCAAGGGTCGAGTTTTCGGTGAATCAACTGTCAAAGTTCAGTCAAATAAGGTGCAAGACCCTGAACATGTCGGTGCTTTAAGCTTCAACCTGTGTATAAACTTGACCATGCCGACCACTGGTTCACTAATGTGTTGTGTACATTGCAAGTTGCGGTGTCGTTCAGAACGTTCAAGGCGCATCGCCTGCTCAGCTAGTTCTAGAACAACATGCCAACAGCCAAAGCGCTGCCAGTGAAATGAATGCCTACACATCGGCGGTTTCCTGTTTGCTTCCACAAGCTAGATTTGCATTAAAATACTTGACGCAAAATAGTTACCGGCGAGAATGATCGAGAATCTGAATTCAACTTACATAGTTACCTCGGTACCTGAGGGCTGAGCTTACACATGAGCATAGATGCAGCCAAATAGATATGCACGAGCCCATCGTATCTTAGATTTGAAAAGCCTGTATATGTAAAGTGGCGTCAAACATCACATAAAGTTACAAATGTCCAGTTCAAGCCTGGTTGGGGCAAATGCTTGTTGAATCTGAATACAGACCGAACCGGACACGTTTTGAGGAGTACATTGGCGAAGTTTGTAATACCACCGATGATGAGGATCTTGCCATCAGAGCGAGGTGGGCGCGTGAGCAAGTCGACTATATGTAGATTAGCAAGATGTGATTGACGTGGAAAGATACGCACGGATTGTCTTGGCATATTCGAAAATTTGACCCTTGCTTGGGGCACCAGAGTATTTATTCACCGTAGTTTGCGAGTTCATGGGCGAAGCCTGCTGCTGCGATAGCATCACTGCAGACGACGGATGTACCACCACCTGCGACCATTGTCCAAATACGACCGCTGGGGTTGAGGACGGTGAGCTTGGGAGAAGCACCGGTTGAAGCATCGAGTTTTTGAGCGTATGCTATGTCAAATGAGTACGACGACATAATGACAATCGACGGAGTACGTACTTTGTGAAATATCTACTAAATGGAGCGGGCCAAACAGCAGGTGGACCACGATCAGCGTTTACCTTGGAGCTAGTGGTAGGTCTAGCCTAAGCGTTCTCGTAGATTGTCAAGTCTCTTGCGACAGCCCACTTTTGACCGCGGATGCCCTCGGCTGTCTGGTCGAGCTTCGCAGCCATGTCAAGGTAGTGAACATGGCCGTCATCAGGATAATCGAGGACGACCGAGGGGTTGGTAGGGCAAAGTGGAGATCTAGGTAAACAGAGTAGAGAGGTCGATGTGACTCAAGGGTTGAGCTTGTTGCGCCCGACCCCACGATCCAAAATTTACACAGCCACACTCGAACTATTCAAAATTTCAAATCAGAATTTGCCAGATCTGCAAGTTCAACGTCGAGACTATATATATAGTACCGTGACTCGACTCTATCATTTATATGGAACGACCTAAGCTGCCTGCAGCATACTCAGAACAATGCTCGTTGCAATCCTGCAATTTCATCGCTGACGCTTTTGGGTTTACTTGGATCCGCATTCACAGCATCGATCCATTCTCGTGGAAGCTACACGGCAATATCTGATCAGCGAGTCAGGAATGTACAATCTCCTTCAAGGAATTCATGGATTGTTCATCGCGAGCATTATATGTGTAGAAAGTTAACGTGCGTAAGATTCGAAATGCAACCGGTTATTTTACAATTGACCCGGCGTGCTCTCAGGGCCATCTTCAGGAGTTCAAACCTTCATATCTAACGTTCGTTGGCGTCATGTACAGCAATTCATTATGTTCATAGAACTACTACAACGTTCAAAACACCGCCATCGACATGCGATTTAAAGTGGCATGTACAGCTAACTATCCGTATTATTAAGTTCTGTCAACGTGTCTGGCCACCGATATTTCAAAACTTTTTAATCATCGTCACGGCCAAGTTAAGCATATCAGCACAATGGAGAGATGGAGAACAAAGACTTACAGGTGGCTAGTGCAACTCGTCGGATGAAGGACAAGGATTTGTGACCCCGGGCCTTATAGTGCACAGCATCGCCAAAATGCACTTTGGGAAGGTGAGTAACCGCGTTGTGATACCTACTGACTTCAACTCAAGGAGAGGGAGCCAGGAATGAAGCGCTCCCTCCTCAATGGCAGCAGGTTGGGTTGCTAGAATGACAGACTGGGATATCAAGATTCAAGATGACACGTCGTAATAGCTTCATGGAACCGACCTTTACCAGGAGTGCGACTAAGTGAGCGAAGAATGTCCCACTAGCAACGAGGAACTAATGGTGACACATTGACAACTCGTTCCCAGATGCGAATGGCACATCTCACCACTCGGTCGGTCCTACTTCGCCAACCACAATACCAAGACCACATCGTGGAAAAAACCAATGCCTGAGCGTCCACCAGAGAGCTTGACGCCAGAGTGCATGCTCGAGGGTCATTCCAAAGTCAGTTGGAGCCTTGTCCGCTTGGGTACCAGTTGCAATATACTGAGCGCGTCATGCGATGGTTCAATTTGTCAGTGGACAATAGATGGAGACGCGCACCATTAAAGTAGCTGCCGGTCGCAAGAAAAATGTGAGTGTCTCTTGTAGTGAAACGAAAGAACTTAAACACGGAATTACAGTCAGGGACCGGGGGCAAACCTACTTTCGGCCGAGTTTTGACCAAGTGCCTAGTAAGAACGCTGCACTTATGTAAATAAGATTTGTGATGTTCTGACGATGATTATAATCCACTTCAGTGTTATGGCATTCCAGTTTGTCTGTCGTGATGTCAGGTTAGAGGTAATACTGTACAGTACACTATTGGCTCAGATGCGCAAGCAATCACTTCTCCTCCTTTGTCAGGAACAACTCGTATTTCGAGAAAGCAGGCGTCGCATCAGTAAACCTTTGCCTGATCAATCTGGCCTTTGCTTCGCTTCTTGGTGAGATCGAACAAGCAAACGGACGAGGCCTAAAGACAAGACCCTAAAGAGTTTGTTTGGGCTGATCCTTAACAACATCGATGCAGCCATGACACACCTCCTCATACGCATCGATATCTACAGGGATCTGTGCCTTCGTAACTGGATCAATGGCAGCAGCGAAATCAAACGCCCAGACCAACGTGGCAATGGTGAACGCCTGCTTGACTGTTCAGCCCAGAAATCGGGTGTTAGAGCGTCACATACCAGGTTTGTGTTGACTAAATTCATCCCAGGGCAGAGTCTCTGCAGGACATCATGAGATACATATCGTGTCCCTCCAGCCCAAAAGACTTACTCTTCCGCTCCCAAAGGGTATACTTGCGCGCCAGTCTTTGCTATCCACACCAGGTTTTGTCCCGTGTTCGGAGAGGAGGAATCTCTCTGGTCGAAAGACCTCAGGTTCGTCGAAGACCTCTGATAATATTTGAGCGGGCCTCCATTACATGTGAATTACGACAAACTCACCCGGATCATGCAAAATGCCCCCTACTCGATGGTCAGCTTGACAGGTTGGAGAATGCGAATGTTACACATACAAGCATTTATGAAAACGGTTGTACCTTTAGGGATAACATAGCTTCGATACTGGCATAATACATTGGTCAACGTGGGCGAAAACTATGACCGGTAGATCGCGACTTACTTCTTGAGTCTCTAGCAACGCGTGAGGCATTCCAAGCGGTGCCATAGGTTTCAGTCTATGTACCTAACAGACTTTCAGCCTGATTTACCATTGCTAACCTAGACAAGAATTCACCTCTCTTAGGATGGCACGGACATACGGAAGCGATGCAAGGTCATCCATTGTGGGTGGCCGCCCGTCCGGTAGAACGGAGTCGATCTCATTTTGAGCCTTTCGCAGTGTCTCGGGGAAGGCAACAAAACACAGAATGAGGGAAGAAATGAAGGACCCCGATGAATGGGATGCTTCGAGCACGATCGCACCTAACCAGCTACAGCGCGAGATGAGAGTTCCTGAAGATGTGATTCAGAGTTCGCACTCACGCGGCAGCGTCCTTTGACATCCCGAGCTCTTCTTGGCGCTGAATGACTTCTTCCATAAAACAACCAGTACCTTCTCCTCTGGCGAGCCTTGTTTCTGCCTCTTCCAATAACCCAAAATATAATCGACGTTGCAGCGTCCTCGCCTCCCTGCATATTCTTTTCCACGGCGCCCACCGTTCCGGGACATATTTGAGAATAGGGAGGAGATCGACGGGAGGCCCCTCAGCAGATACCACCTGCACGGTGAGTCTCACACCTTCATAAAAAATTCTTTCTTCCTCCGTGTCAGGCCGTGGGCAGCGTTTCCCAAAAGCTATAGACAGCAGTATTGAAAATGTGTAACGATCGATGTGCTTTTCGAAGTCCTATGAGGAGATGAGAAAGCTTAATAGATTATCGAAAGAAGGGAACCTCACTTGAGGTGAACGGAGTAAATCAAATAGAAGTTGTGAACTCTCTGCTACCGCGACTGGTAGGTGTTTATTCACACTTTGTGGGGAAAGCAGGGTCTGTAACGCCTTTCGGCCCATATGCCAGATATCCGTCGCTGACGACTGATAAAAAAAATTGAAAGGATGCTGAGGGAGAAATAACGTACTCGAATCTGCTTCCGCGATAAAATACCCATCCGTTATGAGACTTCCAGTGTAAAATGACGGACGACCAGAGGTTTCATTGCTTCGCTTATCCATGAATTCTTTGAGAACTGTGGCATCCGATACCACAACAACTGTGCCGTGACCGATCTTCAACTAGGAACACTATCAGAGGCAACGGCAGAAATGTTTCTGTAGCAAACGTTTCTTACGGAAAAAATGCCACCATATTGTCGAGCCCATTCGGTAAATCTAGAATGAATGAGGTCTGTAGCGTTATGAATGCGAGTCAAATTTGACGCCTTACTTAATTTGGGCGAACTTGGGCGGGACCATGAGGGCATTTCCGAGTATGGGGACGGTCGGAGGACCAGGAGGTAGGTGCTGCTCGCGCCTTCCAATGCTTAGTAACTTGGTAATCATCCATATTATACCAGTGGTTAGGAGGAGAGAGAACAACGATATGGAATCCATTGTGTTACTGCTTCTACTGAGTGGCACTGCCAGTGAGGTGAAAGGGCAGGGTACAATGCTTGATGGTATCTGATGGGATGGAACAATGCCATCTAGCACGATGTGTCCAGGTGACTTGTCCCAACCTGCCGAATTGGATTATGATAATGTATATTTGTCCGTACCATTTTGAACATTGCTGACTTGCCATAAGGATCTAGAAAAATCTAAAGAGGTTTCGATACGCATCAGCCAAGCTGGCAGGAGCTAAATTGAAAAAAAAAAACATCCTGAAAACAGCCGTTATCTGCCAAGTACGGATTAGAAACATCTTTGAAATCGAACATGTTCTTATTGGCAATTCTACCCATAACCCCGCCAACTTTCTAAATTCTTGCGGAAACTCACTCAATCTGACGTCACGGTAGAATGGACTTTGGAAGGAGAACGAAGTCAGGACTCAGAGGCATAAATCAATGGGTCATGGACTGATAGCCGAGTTAGACCCATCCCTCCGAAGTCAGCCTATCTGAAGAGGCGGTCTGTTATTCGCGTTTTCGCGTGAGAGTTATAGTCGACTTCTGGATGCCACATCAATATCAAAACGAACAAACAGTTCACGAAGTCACCTGTATGGAGAAGGCCTGCGAACACTCCATTGGAATTGATTATGTTGAAGAAAGTTTCTGCCTCATAAATTTGTGTCCGCGGAAAGTGGGCAGTTGAAACGTATGCCATATCTCATTTTGGGTGACAGCGCACATGAGATCACCCTCGGGTATGGTGTGACCAGTGGTAAACCCAAAGTACCAGGTAATAATGATATGATAATACTATGGACCTTCTCTAACTGCATAGAGCAGGCCTGGGAGCCGGGTGAAAACTGCAGTAAATCTGGTTTCATTCGCATGCCAAAGGGATTTGATTAGACGTAGCGATGTCCATTAACAAAAGCGCACTCAACTATTGGTATTGCTGAAACGTTGTGGCCGCATCTGTTCATGAACATCACAAGTTGAAATTACATAACAATCTGAGTCTGAACTTCGTCATCGTTCCAGCACTGACTCCAAGACGAGCACGAGTCCTTGCGCAATGCGCACGAGCTACGAGAGATCGTATCGATCTCTCCAATGGCATACCTGAAGTGGTATCTCTCTCCATAGAAATCGAGGTCAGCTGCTCAGGTGGGAATGCCATCGTCCAGGTTTAGGCTCAATTGAATCGTGAAACGTTTGATTTTCATGTCAGATGGTCGATTACCCTGACCAACAGCATCTCCAAAGGTCTGTTGTACACGTGTAATTCGATACGCATCCATAATTGGCGACTTGAATTGAACAGACCCACAGAGTCTTGACAAAAATCGATGCTTTACCCCCTGCAGAAAGTCGGTATTATGATAACGGACAAAAGGTTTTCGTAGTTTCGCTAGAAATCTTTCATTTCCCAGTATAGACTTCACTTTGCGTTTTTCACTTTAGTTGTTAGATTTTCGAGGACATCCTGATCCTCGGATGTCCGACCGTCCGACCCCATCCGCGCCAGCAGCATAGTCGCTCCATCCCTCTGACAGCACACATGGGGATCATCACTCAGCATATACAGAAAAGTTAGAACTGGCGAGCCCTATGATGTTGTGATTCATTCTGAGAATACTCGGTGCTTCGGGGATCAATGGTTATCGCACTTCTTCTCTCTGATGCCAACAAGCCCCTACGCTATGCAGACCTTAGTCGAGTAGCCCTTCAGTGTCTTTATGCAACACACTCGATGTGGAAAGCCCTTTCTATCCTCCAATCCGCAATATCATGTAGGGAACTAGAAACACCCACATCGTTCACACCACCATCTCGGCTTCTATCTGCCTTTGATGCGCACGTCGGTGACTGTTCGTGCCAAACGCGAGCGCAGATGCTCTGGGAGCTTGTCCAATTCTACAACATACCAGAGAAGAAAAACGCCCTCGATCGCGCAATCACAATGCTGCAAGAACTTAGGATTCAGGCCGCATTGCTGCTTCAGGAGATCGAGCTCAGTCACGGGAAACCACGCATTCCCACCCTCGACGCACTCAGAACTCATTTGAGTGTATGGCAACGCATCGGCTTCACGCGTTTTTTAAATCATTTCTCTGGGCCCTCTGACTCTCCGCCTGAAATTGGCGGCGCCCCGCAGACTGGCGCTGCTGGAGATGTGCTAGTTAGTAAGTGAACCTTGACAGTTAGAGTAATGCACCATAATTTGCTCAATGCCTTGTTCCCAGGCCCGACGCTTCCACCGGATTCTTCACACAAACGCTACCAGATCACAGTTGAACCAGAATGGGACACCGACAACCTTTTCCTCGTCGCGCGTTTCTTGACGCTCTGTCTTCTTCTGTCTGAATGCAAGATAGCTAAGTTAAAATCCGGTTCCCCTACCCGCGTGATTGTTCGCGTCGATCTTCAATTAATGTATGCGAACATCGGACTGGAGCTTGAAGCTTTGAGTCTGTTGCCGGCACGGAGGAATGCGAAGCCTTGTGATGGCAAGGTGAAGTTGCACGCGCAATGCGATGCTATGCAGGTCTACGTATCCATCGTTACGACGGATTGGGTGAAGAAAACGGTTCTTAGACTCGGACTTCTTGACTTTCACCAGAGGTATGTGATATTGGTGTGGTTTCAGGGACTGGCATTCAAACACCGTGTGTTTAGTTTGTCCGAGGGATTGATAGTCGCAAATAGTCGCCACATTTCGTGCGTTGCGACGTATGCATCCACGTTGCTTGTACGCGCGTTGTGGTTGACATTGAACACACCTTTACTGGTCGCGATCCAGCGGTTCTGTTCGCATGGCGGTGAGTAACAATACGCGAATATAAACGAAATTTTGTTGATGATATCGTTACCTTGTTTCATATCAGAATTCCACAATATCTATTGCCGTATCACCAGAAATCCCGCATCCCCAGCCCCCTCTTTCTGCGAGATGGGAGAACCCAATTGGTTCGATGTTACACTTGTTTCCGATGAAGACATTATCGCATCACCGTGGGCCATGCTACCGCACGTCATCATGATATGCATGTCGGGGGAAGGCACGATTGACGACTTCCGCCGTCTTCTCCTCGATAACAATCAAGGGAACTGGCGTCCTAGTCAACCTCATAATGGGACGTGCCAAGAGATTGTTGACTACGTCAGCAAACTCAAGGAGCTCAACTTCGCTCGCTTTATGGCGCACTGCTCTGCGCACCATGATCAGTTTCCGTTCACATTACCGGATGATGAGGATGCGTTGGAGAGGGTATCTGACCTGATCCAGAAGGGGTTGGGCAAGAGAGCTAGTGACACCTTTCAGGGGGCCAGAGATGGGGCTGATGACTTTGGAACAGGGAGATCTATGAACATGTTCACGATCGAACACTTGGTCGTGGAATTTCCAGGCATGATATTGAAAGAACTACAGGGAAAGCCTACCGTTTATGGTTGTAGACTTGAATCTTGATAAGCTCGCACCAGTAAATTGTACTAGTAGTATCTTGACTTGAACATCCCAGCTTATCATCGCCAGTACTTGGACACATATGGGAGGTTGAAACACACCTGGCATCTATTTCATCAACGCTCATGTTATTGCCGCGCTACTACAGATGAAGAAACAACTTTAGAAATTTGTATGTTACTGTAATGTTCCCCTTGAATGTTCTCATTGGACATGCAAGTCACTGATAGCATAGCGGCCGGTCGCGAGCGCTTCCCACGCTCGTCGCCGTCGGGTTCTTATATAATCATTATATGTTATTGGGAACGATGACTATGCTGGCGCGGATGAGGTCGGGACGGTCGGATGACCATTCAACCTTTCGAATTACCTCGCTTGACAAGGTTTCCTACGACAATTAGTAGCCAACTTTCGACCAACCGGCAATTTCCGGCAATTCACGTGATGCCGGTCCCATGTAGAAAATAAATGTCATGCCGCGTCTGTCATTTGATACATTTGTACACAATACGCAGCCAACGGAGTATGCCGAAATTATTGCAGAGGAAATCAGAGAGTGGCACGTTTGTCCGACAAGACTCTCACTCGTCACAACTTAATCTGGAGGGCATCTGGGAATTCGAATTTCCGGGTCCGTCCAGCTGAGTCCAGCTGGATCTGTCCGGCTCACAAAACAAAGCAGTCCAGAACTTGTGAGTCTCCCCCCTGAGGGTGCTTTATGTTGTTTTCCGACATTCTACATGGCTTTATGACTTTATATTTCAATATAACGAAAACATTTTCTATATATGATCATATATTCAAGTTGGCATAGATGACAATATCTGCGGCTCACCAGGACTGTCCTCTGATGGTATGACACTAATACATTACATGAGCAGAAATATGGATGGGAAAGCCGGTCAGTGAGTCTAATGATTGCTAGTAGGTGAGCACAAAACTGTAGCGGAGGAAAGCTGGCCAGCTAGGTGCACGAGAAGGACAGGCAAAAGCCCAAACCATATCTACAAAGCTGTAATCATCAGGCAAGGCAAGGCAGGGATATTGTTAAATTGATGTGTTCGAGACAGTAACAAGTCGTAAAAATGAGCTCATTGTATGATGCGACATCAAGAACTGACAAGTTGTGCGCAGACGGATCCAGACAGACCCGCACGCAGCCAGACGGAGACTGCCGGAAATTCGGATTCCCAGACTTTCTGTTAATGTTTGGGTCAAGCAAGGTTTCTGCCGACGCAGGTGGCAATTCACGAGTGACAAGACGGCATACCGCATGACTCCTCATCAGCAAAAGACCTTGAAATTTCGCTTGTCAGAAAGAAGTTTGATGCTTATGGTGAGCTTACGGCGTTGGTGATTGAGCAAAGCGATTGGTGGAACAAACTTATCCATAGTAAAATGTAAATCAAATAATGTGGTAGCGTTAAGTGGGTAAAATGGGTTGGAAATAACGATATTATATTGAGATTACTATTTGGAACCCTAGACTAGGGCCATTTATAACCAGCAGTGACGACCGTTGTAAAACTTTGTAACAATTGTGCATGGATTTGAGATCATTGTCTGTGTTGTGACTACTACTACTACTACTAGTATGAGGTACTGATACTGCGTCTATGCAAACTCTGTGCTGAATGTATGATAGCTCTCCTTATCCGCGAAACTGTTAAGAAAAAACTGGTCATAGCTCTCCAAACAAGTGGCCGAAGAAATCTTTGCATCTACCTTGTTACCATATTCTGGTATCAATTCGACAGCATGTGTTACATCCGTCAATGATATCACGCCACCACACCTACAATGTTTACCATGTTGGTCTATCGTGTATGTGCGCTCTACTGTCCACATTGCAAGTTCTGGATGGTCACTGGGATTAGCGACAAAGTGAAAGAATTGGACGTAGAGGAGTGGACTGGAGAGGAACATTGGCAACACCAAGTCAGAAGTCCGTGGAATCTTTGGCTGAAAAATAAGTCGGACTTGTGCAACACGACTGGCTGAAAAACATCTTGAATTAGATCTGAAACACGACTGCAAGAATAAACTTACTACTTTGGCCACCATCATCCGTGACATTGATTAGGACAGTGTCACAGTTTCCAAGGGGGAATGCATCACTCGGTGGGTACGCTTGTATCACTCTGCTTGGCATGATGACTTGTGGCTGGAAAGCAGAGTGAAGCTGTAGTCGGAATTTGTTCCATGCACAAAAGTGTCTGTATTTGTGGTCCCAGCGGGTATGCTCGCCAGTGAGGAGGGATAGCTGATTGATAAACTGAGAGAGCACGCGACCGAAATTAACAAGTGAATATTTGGTTTCAATAGCGATGGGTGTCAGAGCCTTGTAATCTGGCGTCGAAGTCAGATGGAAAGCAGTGTGAGCATCTCCAGAAAGAATGCCCTTGAGAAAATGATTCTGAACTGGCCGAGGTCCATGAACAGAATGTGCTTCATCAGGGAGAACACGAGAAACCCAGGAAAGTGCTGGATTAACGGTTGTCACTTCCTCATCTTCCATACATATGGTATTGACAAGTGACGTGCCACGAGAATAGAATAATGCATACAAGTTGAATAACTCCATTGACTCCTGGCGGTTGAGGATCCGTATGCACTGCTCTGTAAAATCAGTGGATCGCCGGTTTGTGCGCCCAAAGAGATGCTTGCAGTGTGTGATGAGTAAGCGCTCTGTCATGTCAGCTGAAAACTGCATCAAAGTGCCCAGTCTCTCGACTCTCCAAAGCTTTGCAATAGCTCGAGTTTCGGGATAAAAAAATCTTCTTTAATGCCTTTCTTTCCCCTCCTTGCCTCAGCATCGACAATAGCATCCTTGAACACGTGAAAATCTGAAAGCGCTTGCGCCATTGACTGTAGGGAATCAGGAGAATGAACTGGATTCTGCGAAAGATAGATGAACTCCACAAGGGCGTGAATGGCACGAATGAATCTGGGTGGAGCAACACCTGCGATTGAAGCGACAATGGTGCATTGGATATCTCGGTGCTCCTGTCCTGTCATTTGGTTGACATGGGTGACACCTTTGGTGAAGTGACGTGTTCCCACCCGCTTATGCTGAACCATGAAGCGAGCATCGAGCTCAGGTTTCCCTACTGTCTCCTTGATCCAATTGAGCGGATGATCTGCAAAAAACTTGATGCAGGTATGTAAAACTTCACCAGTGAGAAAGACAGATGGGCATGCGAACATCCAATTGCGCCAATATGGCATGTGAACTCCCGACAGATGGACTGCTTTTGCTGCCTTCTGGAATTTATCGAGATCCCAAGGATCAGCCTCCTGGGAGATCTCATAGATGAGTCACAGCGTGTGTTGCCCAGTACGAGGAGGATGGAGGACTCCATCACCAAAATTTGCCTGTGTCGCCATAGTTATGGGAGATGCATTTTTACTGACGGTAGCGATCATGGTAGCCTCTGGGAGGTCACATATGTGAGCAATGAGAGGTGTAAAGACATAACAAATGTATCGGGAAGGATCAGGCATAAAACAACCATTTTTTGCTGCAATCTTGAGATTGGCGCAGACAAGATCGACACATTTATGCCACAGACGTGCTTGCAGAATGCTCTGATAATCAGGATGCACACGAAACTTGGTGATGGGCATGTAAGCAATACACCGCCAAGCTCGTAGTGTAGCCTTGGAGCGAACTTCTGAATCGAGGTTGCCAATCATAATGAAGAGTGGGTGCATCTCAAGCCCTCCGGTAGTGTGTGTCACAGGTGTTTTATCTGATCCCAGGATGATCGGTACTTGTGTAGCACCTACTGGGAGATGGTCCTAGGAACATGGCATCAATTTTTGAATAGTAGACTGACGGATAAAACTGACCTGAATTTTCCATGCCATATTGGTGCTCATATAATCCCCATATTCACGCTGACCCCAAACATTGACAACATGTGGCTGAAAAGTAATGTGATTGGTGAAAACGGGATCTCCAAAGAGCTGTTTGACAACTTCGAGAGCATCACGCCAGATGAGTTGCAAAGGATAGGTTGTCTTGTAGCCTGTAAACTCCATGGTCGAGACTTTCCATGGCACAAAAGAGGGGAGTGCGTCAATCCAGTCGAAAAGTTGATCTTTTGACGTGAAAGATGGTCTTGGGCGGGTGTGAAACTGTAAACATAGAGTTAGACCTGTCAAATAGGGCTCCAAGTCTCCTACCCATTTTAGCTTCAAAAACTTGTCAATCTGAGTTTGAGTCAGGTTTTCAACTAGAAACCTTGCCAATTCCCACTCCCCTTCATCATGAAAAGGGTAATACATATTTATTTTCCTGCGATAATCATATTGATCCTCTTGCAACCTGTCGAATAAGTTTTTGCCGACACCAAAGACATACCCAGATCGAGGATGATGATAACCAGTAGCGGAGGATGTCGATGAATGAGAACCTTGCAATCCAGGTGGAATTGGAAATTGATGTGGATGTGATTCGTGTGGCCAACAGGTAGATGGAGAATCAAGATGGAGAATGACTGCCTCGATGGAAAAGAACTCCTCACTGCAGTTGGGACACAGCCTGGTATATGTTAGTCTATGTAATAATAAAGTGATAAAAGATACTTGCTGTTACGGTACACTTATTCCCCTAACTTTTCCTTCGTTACCGGACAGTGGTCCCTTGTCACGTCTGTTACTGAACGTCCGATTACATTCCAGACTCTTACTCACATAATCGCCAAGCTTACCTTCCGTGCCTGTAACCGTCACCATGCTTAGCCCTTATCTCTTATCAAGCGGGCTGTCCGCCTTCTATCTTGATACGCCATTTACAAGCTCCGCTTGAACATTCGCTATATAGACACATAGTGTACCGATTGTATTCTGCACTTTAATCTACTGGGTTTTACCTGGAACCAAGTCCTTTAGCAAGGCCTCCAACCTTGCTATCTAAGAACCACTATTCTAAGGGAGTCGCTGATACTCGCCTTAGCCAGAAACCTTTGACCTCTCATATGAGAGAAGAACCACGTCTGTCTCACCAAATCTCAGTCCACTCGGACTCAGACAGCTCGACATATCTCAGTCGTAACAAAAGATTAAAGTCCCACCATAGACGCCACCATCTGCGATGTCCCTTGACATCACGACTTCGCTAACTCCTTTGATCGGAGCCTTGAGCCTAGGCACACTACCGCCTATACCACCGCTGAATAACATGACTACCACTACTAAAGAAGTAGAAATCAAGATCAGTTCTCCTCCCAAATTCGATGGAGATCGCGATGAATTGCACAGGTTCATGCTGAACTGTACTGTGTATCTTGATATCAATGATAAGATCTACGACAATGATAAGAAGAAAGTAATCTTCGCACTCTCGTTCATGACCAAGGGTAATGCAGCCGCTTGGAAAGAAGACTTCATGGAAGCTGCCCAGAACTCAAAAAGAAAGAATACAGCCGGAAATATCATTGCATACGGAACCTGGGACGACTTCAAGGTAGCCTTCAAAGAAGCCTTTGGAGCCATCGACCCAGCAGGAACAGCTATGGCCAAAGTCCGAGCCCTTGAAATGAAAGGAGATCTCCAGACCTACATCTCCAACTATCGTCTCCTTGCTCACAAAGCCGGGATAACCGAAAATGTCACCAAAGTAGAATTCTTCCGCGAAGGTCTTGATATAGGACTTCATAACAACCTCTATCGTACCAGAGAAAGTCTAGACGACTTTGAAACTGTCGTCGCCACCTGCATTAATCTGGACAATGCATTCCAGAGATTGAGAGCAATCCAGCGACGGGAGAACCCGACATCCCCCCAGAAGAAAAAGAAGTACAGAGATCGCCACTTCACTCCTCACAGAAGCGACGCCATGGAAGTCGACAGACTTTCTGAATCTGAGGTAAAGAGACACTTGAAGGAAGGACGGTGCTTCAATTGCCACCAGACAGGGCATTGAGCCAATGACACTGTGTTCCATCCCAGAGAAGACAAGAAACAGAAGATGCCTATCCGTAGGAAGGCTGAGAAAGAAGAAAGCAGTGACGACGAAGAAGAGGTAAACCGACGCTTCGTAGAGATGGATTTTTGAAACAGAAGGCTGCATCAATGTCAGTACCTTCTATCCCCATATGACTTGTACAATCACTTGGAAATAAGAAAGAACTTCGTGTTCCTGCTACCATCATTTCCACCAAGCGTATGAAAACCATTGAAACCTCTATGGTCGTTGACTCTGGAGCAAGCGGAACCTTCATTAGTGAAGCATTCTGCAAACTACATGGAATCAAGACCCATAAACTCTCGAAACCTTTCCCTGTCACAACCGCGGATGGATCCGACGCCAAAGGAGGACTCATATCCCGTTATTGCGTCCTCACGATCAAAATTGACGAATGAACCATGATAGGAAAGTTCAAAATAACCAAACTTGCAAAGAAAGATAAAATTTTGCTTGGGTTCCCATGGTTAAAAGCATTGAACCCATTAATCGACTGGATGAACAAAGAACTGTCCCTCCCGTCAAACGAACGATCGCTCAAGATCGAGAGAAATATCGATCATCTCAGAAAGCAGCGCGGTCTCCCGCTACTGTTCTCTCGGATCACTCCCGTGCAGAAGGAATCACCTCGCGAATGGAAGGATTCCAAGTTAAGGAAACCCTCTGAAGAACCCATCTACCCCTGAGCCTCTATCGAAGAAATCACCGACGAGGAACTCCCTCGTCTCGTGCCCGATAAAGATGAGTCAGACTATGACACCAAAGAAGACGTATGGTCGGAAAATTACGCACCACCAGTCATCGACCCTTCCCTCTACCCTCTCAGTGATGAGGAGGTCTTAATTGAATATTCCCCCAACAGTTCCCAAGTTAGGATAATCTCCGAAATCTCTTTCGACACCCCCCTCACGAAGGATGGTACCTCGAAGCAGGAACAGAGCTATTCAAAATCCAGCAATAAAGCTCAAGAATTTGCCTTCGCCGGAGAACAAGAAAAAATGAAGAAAAGTTTCGAAGAACTTGTCCCTTCCTATCTCCATACTTACGCCAATATTTTTGCAAAAGACGGTCTCAACAAACTACCCCCAGAACGACCAGGTATAGATCACCGTATTGATCTAAAACCAGGATTCGTGCCAAGAACATCCAAGATCTACCCGCTATCAGGAAAGGAAAGAGAAGCAGTGAAGACCTTTATTAAAGAGAATACTGAAAAAGGGTTCATCGTACCGTCGAAATCCCCGCAAGCCAGTGGATTTTTCTTTGTAGGAAAGAAAAGCGGCGAGCTGCACCCCTGTCAAGATTACCGATACCTCAACGACTGGACCGTGCACAACCAGTATCCACTTCCCCTTCCAAAAACCCTCATTGAACGACTCTACAAAGCCCAATATTTCACCAAAATCGATGTACGTTCTGGCTATAACAACATCCGGATCCACCCCGACGATAGATGGAAGGCTGCTTTCACTACCGAAGAAGGCCTATTCGAACCAACGGTAATGTTCTTCAGATTAACGAACTCTCCCACCACCTTCCAGTCCTACATGAACAATCGCTTCCAGACCGAAATCAATGAAGGATGGCTCGTCATATACATGGACGACCTGCTTATCTTTTCCTCGGACCTTGCAGAACATCACGAACGGACAAAAAGGGTATTAGAGACTCTTCGCCATGAACAGCTGTTCGTGAAACCAGAGAAATGTACTTTCGATGCAAAAGAGGTAGAATACCTCGGAATGATCATCCACCCCGGAGAGGTAGGCATGGAACACGCCAAGGTCGACAGAATAAAGAATTGGCCGGTCCCTACTTCCGTAAAAGATGTTCGCTCCTTCCTAGGGTTCTGCAACTTTTACACAGCATTTGTATCCCACTATTCCGACATTGCCCGACCGCTTATCAACCTTACTCGAAAAGATCAACCTTTCGCTTGGACTTCAGATTCTCAACACTCTTTTGACAAACTCAAGCACTGTTTTACGACAAAGCCTGTGTTACGCAACCCCAACCCTACACGCCAATTCGCCCTTGCTACCGACGCTTCCCTCATAGCAACCGGAGCTGTACTTTTACAGACGGACGAAAATGGTGTCTATCACCCTTGTGAATACATCTCCCAGTCTTTCAACCCAGCCGAGCGAAATTATGAAATTTTTGATTGGGAATTACTCGCTATCATTCGCGCTCTTAACGAATGCCGTCACTACTTGGAAGGAAGCCCTCATCCCGTCATCGTCTTCACTGACCATCTAAACCTCCTCTATTTTTCGAAAGCGCAGAAGCTTTCTCGTAGACAAGCACGTTGGCAGCTCACTCTGTCCAACTATGATCTGGAATTACACCATGTCCCCGGAACGAAACTTGCCGCACCTGACGCTCTTTCATGGCGCCCTGATCATGGCCTCGGTGAACATGATAACGAAAATTGTGTGCTTCTCCCCGACTCCATGTTTATACGGTTGCTCGATGATGAGCTCTCTGCCGCGCTCGCCACGAACTCTTTGGACGACCCAATTTTCTCTGTTGCCAGCGATGCCTTGAACGGGCTTTGCCTGCCTCCGATGACATCAGCGCTCTCAGACTGGAAAATCACCGACGGGGTGCTGTACTATAAGTCTCGCACTTACGTCCTGCCCTCGCAGAGAATGGCCATTTTGCTTCGGCACCATGACCATCCTACTGCCGGCCACCCCGGACGGTTTAAAACCGAAGAACTCGTTAAGCGAGATTACTGGTGGCCTGCCATGGGCACCTTTATCCGCTCCTATGTCGCTGGGTGTGCCCTGTGTCAGCAGATGAAAATTGATACTCACCCTGTCACTCCCCCCCTTGTCCCTATCCCCTCCTCCACCACGCGGCCTTTTTCTCAGGTCTCTGTTGACCTTGTCACTGACCTACCTGTTTCCAATGGTTTTGACTCCCTCATGGTCGTGGTAGACCATGGCCTTACGAAGGGGGTGATTATTTCCCCTTGCAACAAAAACATCTCTTCCAAAGGGGTGGCTAAACTATTTCTCAAAAACATGTTTAAACGCTTTGGACTTCACGAGAAAGTAATCTCTGACCGAGGTCCCCAGTTCATCTCAAAGTTTTCTAGAGAACTAGCCCGCCTCCTTGGATATCAGATTGCTGCTTCCACAGCATACCACCCGCAGACTGATGGACAAACTGAACGACTCAACCAGGAGATAGAAACATACCTCTGAATATACTGTAGGAGTAACCCACACGAATGGTCAGACCATCTACCTCTCGCCGAATTCATACACAACCATCGTAGACACGAAGCAAGGAACGCGTCCCCTTTCTTTCTTATGATGGGGTATGAACCCCACGGCATTCCCCACGTCCTATCATCCTCAGACACCCCTGCCGTAGAAGAAAGAGTCCGCGCCCTCCAGAAGATTCGAGAAGAAGCCATCTCGTGTCACAATATTGCTATGCAGCGAATGGCAGAAAGAACGCATAAAAAGAAGTACCTACCATGGAAAATAGGAGATAAGGTCTGGCTGTCCGCAGCTAATCTCATGACTACCCTCCCATCCAGGAAGCTTGCGCCCAAACGACACGGACCATTCCCTATAACCGCAGTCTTATCGCCAATCACGTTTACCCTGAAACTTCCTGAACAATGGAAGGTCCACCCTACGTTCCATGCTTCTGAGCTATCCTCCTATCACGAAACAGAGATCCACGGACCGAACTACAAAGAACCACCTCCGGATATAGTCAATCAAATGGAAGAATACAAAGTCGAAGCTATCCTAAGTCACAAGGGCGTGGGTAAACAAAGACACTATCTCATATCCTGGAAAGGGTACTCTTCCGGAAGCAATGAATGGATTCCAGCGGAGAATCTGGAGAATGCCAAAGACCTCCTTACAACTTATAAAAGGAGGCATAAGTTGAACTAAGTCGATCAGTTCCCACTTCCACAACAAACAAACATGTCTTCCCAGCAAATCCCCTCTCCCACTGAATCCAACCCCTCCGCTATCTCTCTCAGCGAATCCCCCTTTGCCGACAACATCGTTAGCATCGAAGACGACGTCATCATTGAAACCACCATCCTCTCCATAGCCCATGCCCTCGAAATTGAGAACTACCTCAATTTCCAACCAGCAATCCCAGCTGGCGTCGCCGCCACCTACATTCATATCATTAGAGCCACCCAATGCCTGGAGGAAGAATTCGCTCAAATACAGAACGATGCCCTCAGGCTTTCCTGTAACCACGTTCAGCGGCGCATACGCTCGCTTACACTTCAGCTATTTCCTCTTGGTTTTAGCACTATCTGCAGGGAAATTATACAGACTGTTGCTGATCGAAACTCCTTCCAAGTTGGCCGCCCATTGCCTCCTCTTACTCACACTCCCCCCGCTGTTCTACCTGATCCAACTTCGATTGGAGGGAACACTCAACCGGTACCTGTCCCAGCGCCCAACGAAGTCTACAGACGAAAGCTCCGCAACAAAGCCGTCGTTCATGGCGTAACAAAGGCCAAATCATCTAAAGGAAAGAAGCGCGAGGTCATTGACCTCACCAAAGAACCTACCACCTCCGCCATCACTATCAGAACCCCTTCGCTGAAACATGTCGTCGGCACCATCGCTGACGCCAACTTCATTTGCCGAGTTTGCAAGAAGCTTGGCCACAAGCACAAGAACTGCCCCTTGTACTTCTGTCGCTTCTGTGGTGACTCAAAACCCGGGCACTTCTCCATCTACTGCCCCTTTGACACCAACAAACCAGACTTCCCGTTGGTCTATACCGACGAAGGCTTCTACGAAGCGTTAGCCGAGTGGGAGGCAGAGAAAGATAGGAAAGAAGAGGAGGCACTTGAGCGTGCCAATAGGGAGTACTTGGTACAGCCGGACGACCTCGAGTTCCACAATGCCGACGCTGACCCCATCTACTATGCAAACCAGGACAATTAGTGACGTCGAAGTCGGTGACATCAACCATAATACGGGGGTAATGTTACGGTACACTTATTCCCCTAACTTTTCCTTCGTTACCGGACAGTGGTCCCTTGTCACGTCTGTTACTGAACGTCCGATTACATTCCAGACTCTTACTCACATAATCGCCAAGCTTACCTTCTGTGCCTGTAACCGTCACCATGCTTAGCCCTTATCTCTTATCAAGCGGGCTGTCCGCACTATGATTGCTATCTCCTATCTCTTATCTCTCACCAAGCGGGCTGTCCGCCTTCTATCTTGATACGCCATTTACAAGCTCCGCTTGAACATTCGCTATATAGACACATAGCGTACCGATTGTATTCTGCACTTTAATCTACTGGGTTTTACCTGGAACCAAGTCCTTTAGCAAGGCCTCCAACCTTGCTATCTAAGAACCACTATTCTAAGGGAGTCGCTGATACTCGCTGTAGGGATTCATTTCTGGCTGGGCTTGCAGAGACTGTTTTTACCTTAGTGTTATGTTTGCACTTTTGTAGCTTACATAATCAAGTTACCTTTTCACCAGTTCTACTATGAGTCTGAGTATTCAGCAAGTTTCTATCATATTTCCTCTTCTCTGAGCCTTGAGCCTGGTCCAGAAACCCTTTAGGGTCGAATAGCAGCTAGGTTCTGCAAGACCCAACATTGTTCAGACTCACCATCTGAATTGTCGTACCTTCATCGCCTTAGCCAGAAACCTTTGACCTCTCATATGAGAGAAGAACCACGTCTGTCTCACCAAATCTCAGTCCACTCGGACTCAGACAGCTCGACATATCCCAGTCGTAACACTTGCATCAAATAGTTAACCGGATTGCTAAGTCTTGACTAGGCCTTTCCTTGTGAGCTTTGCTGATGCTTGCTGGCAGTAACGTCTTTGAGACTCCGCAGACTGTGCATTCACAGGGTATTGTACTGATAACAGCTTATACTATTAGCAGGTTTCCTCTATATATCAGTAGGTTTCTTCCATCGTCAAGTTCAAAGTGCTTACAGATGTCTTCTCCATCTCGTTCTCAGCCCAGTAGTCCCCCCCCCCGATGTAAGACCTATGGTCTTTGCGGCCTCGTATAGGCCTTTTTGTGTTGTCCCTCTGGTTCTAATTGCAGTACACGCTACCATTGGTATAGCGCACATGTCTTATGTCATCGGCCGATGGCTGTGGCTCGCGTGCGCGCTTCGGCTAGCGTCGGCTTCTCTTCGGATCTGTCGCACGTCCTCCGTCCATCCTATCCATATCCTCCGCTGGTTCATTGGTGCATATATTACTTGATTCCCACTAGACTAACAACATTTCCCAAGCTATTCCATTAATATTCTCGTTAAATGTGTCATGGACCCTACTTACATACATCTCACTACCTACTCGGCTCCGAATATCGCTTATGCGCACATACATATATTGGATACTTAGGATTTTCATGTACCTTCTCTCTCCCATCAGAATTTATCACCCGTTTACATGCAAAAGTTATAAGCCTTGACTAAAAGTCTAAAATCTTTGGCACTCTCTCATGCGCGCACTCCTATCGGCAGCAATTGCCTTGCGCTCACGTATCTATAATATTGAATACTCTCGGCACTCATCATCACTCGGCTCCACCCTCGCGCCTTCAGTACCTCCTTGCAACTCACCTTTGACTAAACCGCGCGTTTTCGCGTTTTGTCACATCGCGGCCGCTCGCGCTCGCATCGCATCGCATCGGCTCGCGTCTTATTGGCACTTCGCCTAAGCGCATATCGCCTCGCATTTTCGGCGGTGTAGAGACTCATGCCTCTCCTTGTGCAATATTGCAGTTTTCACCAAGGAGTATACAGCACGAACTTGTAGCATCACTCTGTATGCTTCCTACAGCTATTCCTACATGAGGCGCAGCTTTCCCGTTGAAGGTTCAACGATACAGCGAGGCACGAACAATGCTCCTGACTGTATCTATAAATGTTGTAAGGTCGCGCGTTGCCTAGTCTGCTATACTTGAGACGACAAGTGCATTCGACCCTAAAGGGGAAGCGAGTGCAGCAAGGATCTAGAGGTATGCGCTGAAAGCGCTACTGGTTGGCCAATGCGAAGCGCAGGTGCGCGCGAGGCGCGAGAATGCGCGAAGCGCGGGAATGCGCGCACGTGTATGCGGAAACAAGAGAGAGTAAGAGTGAGTTTGCTTAGGTGATGATATGATGTAAGACAAGAGAAGGGAGATGCGAGGTGTAAACAAATAGATTTCTACTATGTTCTGCTAGGTAAATAGTGGGTAGTAACCAGTAAGTCCTCTGTCCTTCTGGTGGGAGAGTAAGTGAGTAAGTATGTACTGCTGGCGCTTAAGTATGGCGCCTAAGCGCTGTCATGCGGAGCCGAAGCGCTACCGAGTAAGGTATGTAAAGATATATGTAAGTAAGGGTCCATGATAAAAATAAAGATGGAACGATAAGCAAATGTGAGAAATGGAAATATACGCACTAGGGGACTTGGTGGACAGTGGATGGATGCTTCCGGATGGCTGGCGCTATAGGGCGCTCAAGCGCGGGAAAGCGCGCGCGCATATACATCGTGAAGCGTGGGAAAGGCACGCGCGCGAGTTGCGCATTGCGCAGGAAAGCTGCGCCTCATGTAGGAATAGCTGTAGGAAGCATACAGAGTGATGCTACAAGTTCGTGCTGTATACTCCTTGGTGAAAACTGCAATATTGCACAAGGAGAGGCATGAGTCTCTACAGCGGTGTAGAGACTCGCGCCTCTCAATGCGGAATATACGGCCCTATTACCCACATAATTCCCTACACGTTCCAGCTCTTATCCGAAGGATCAGTCATACGCGCTCTCACGCGCGCGCCCTACGTATGCGCCTCGTTCGCGCGCCTTACACGCACTCGCGCCTTTCGCGCGCGCTCGTGCGCCTCCCCTTAGGCCTTCGTACCCTTGTCCGTCCGTCCGTCCTATGTCCTCGCTGATTTACTGGTGCGTTATTCTTATCCCTTTCACTGAATTGACGTACCTTCGGTCCGATCTCCGCGCTTACATATAGAAAGTCTATCATAGGCTTTAGAATATATTTAGAGTTGATATGGTTACTCGGTTCGGTACCACGCTCGGAAGCGCGCCGCATAGCGTAATCTCCCTTCTTAAATAGAGGGAAAGCTCCTTTTAACTTACTTTCTTCCCTTCTCCCTCATCTGAGTATACTGCAAATTGTATAAGTGCACCTTAGTACTTGAAATCCGATATACTTCACTATTCTACCATCGCTCGCGCATCTGTTATACTTGAACACTCTCCCCCATCGCTCAAAAGCACGCTTCCGTATACGCGCGCGCCCCTCGCATCTTTCGCTCGCGCGCGCCCTTCGCGCGCCTTCGCATTTGCTTACTCGCGCCTACGCGCGCGTTATCTTCTCGCGCCTTCGCGCGCCTGTTACCACCCGTCTAGTTGGCGAAGACTCCCTCCATTACATTAAAGAGGAACTTCTCTCAGTAGCTGTCCTTTGGGTCGAGTCGTATTCTCGTATCCTGGTCTTACTGTAGAACCCCCGTTAGCTTTAGCGTTTCACCTATAGTCAAGATTCCTCACCTTCAGCGGGTTAGGTCCTTGCATGTTGTCGAAATTGGAAAGATGCTCGAGATGCCTGGGACTGTATGAGCCTGTGAAAATGATCAGTGACAATGTCTCATTGACGATCAAGTGACTTACCTCAAATGATCCATAACTCTCATAATTGAACGCCAACGGTCCATACGGTGGAATGTCGTGGTTGGGGTTTGGTAGGGATTGATAGGCAGGGTCGGTACTAGGCACTGTATTGTTGTAAATGTTATAATCAGGGTTGGGGAATGTGTAATCCATATCAGCGCTCGATGACTCAGCAGGAGCGCTTGAAGATGCATCAGCCTGAGGGCGAGTACTTGATGATGCAACGTGAGCGCTTGACAGACCCGCGTGAGTGTCGAACGTGTGAGCAGGGTGGAACGACGACACATAACCACTGGCAGGAATGTCGTGGTTGGGGTTTGGTAGGGATTGATAGGCAGGGTCGGTACTAGGAACTGTATTGTTGTAAATGTTATAATCGGGGTTGGGGAATGTGTAATCCATATCAGTGCTCGATGATGGATGAGTGTGAGCGCTTGATAACGGATTAGTATGAGCGCTCAATGACTCAGCGGGAGCACTTAAAGATGCATCAGCCTGAGGGCGAGTACTTGATGATGCAACGTGAGCGCTTGACGGACCCACGTGAGTGTCGAACGTGTGAGCAGGGTGGAACGACGGTGCATAACCACTGGCAGCATGTGCACTGAAGGAATTGTAGTTGTCGTAATGAGTGCTAGTAGTTGCACAAATCAGTGGTAGCTGTCAAGACAGAAAAGCACACACCTTGAGCTGAACCCCTCATGTGGATTGAAAGTGTTTGCCATTGGTTCATGGGGTTGTTCGTCGCTGAGATGCATCTGAGTGTCCGCTGGGACGTGTGAGGGATTCAGACCAGACCCGCGAGTGGGTTTTAGTATCATTGTTTTACCTTTAGCACGTTTTACAGGCATATGCAGGGAGGACTCGAGTAGTAAGGGCACAATAAGGGCGCAGGGTACAGATAAATATCCACATAGCATTCTACTACAAACCATACTTAAACAAGATATGTGTCAATCAGAAGACACTGGAGAAGGGTAAGATGAAGGGGTACAATGTAAAAGTAAAGCATGCAAGTGACAAACCAATACAATCTGGGGGGTCGCCATCGTAATGAAACAGTAACACGAGCAACATGTAATATTACATGTCCTCTTATCGATTGATCAGTGTCGTACATTGAATACAAAAATCTGTTTCACATACCGCGATTGGAAGGGCATGCAGCTGAATAGCCACCGATCAAGTTCACATGGTGGTACTAGTAGTCACATCATCAGGCGCTTCACCAGCCCCCACCGGTGCCCCGAGACACTCTTCTTCGGAATCCAGGTCCGAAGAAGAGTCTAGAACAATATCATCATCATTGTGAATCTCAAGACTGGGGAACTGGGATCACGAGTCCGCAGGTCCGGATTGTAAGAATGCGTCTTTGGTTCGTGAACCTAAGATCTTTGAGATCTGTTCAGCTTGGGCTGAGGTAACACGAAGGATTTTGCATTCATCTTCATAGATGGCTTGAAGGTAATCTCTATCATCGTCAACTTCCGTGCAGTCACGCTCAGAAAAAATCTTCCTAAAGCTCTGCAACTCCTTGTCTGCAAATCCAAGTCGTTCTTCATTCTTGGTATGCAGGGCATCAAGGAATGCAGTGAAGCACTGTTTCTTCAATTTCCCACGCAGTCACCACAAGGCATTGGCATGCAGTCTTGCAGGCAGCAAGCTTGGCTTTATAGCCTTTGTACAGGGTTGAAGAATGCAGTTGCGCAAGGCCATTTTCCAAGTATCCGATATGCTTTTTCAATATAAAAATCAGTCCCTGTAATCCAGTAGAAAAAATAGATTGTACCTGAAGAAATGTTTCAAATGATACATATGGGTTGCACTCTTGCCCCATGACATGAGCTGCATAACGAACCTCTATTGGAGCTGGATATACGGGATATGGACGCTGCTTCCTCATCATTCTGTTGTGCATGAACTGCCGTCGTGCAGCACATTGAGGGTTCGGAGATTTAGACAGATCAAAAGATATGCTATCCATCTCCTTAGCTGGAGTCCCAAGTGTCTTTTCCGGCCTTGTGCTTAGTGGTGAAGTGCACAAGTCAGAATTCATAGTGTTGGGAGAGCTCCCTGACTTGGAGCTAGAATAAAAAAGAGATGTTTCAGGAGTGGTGGCGCGTCCGCTGGATAGAGGAGAAGATGTGGGGCTATTTAACGGACTTGGAGGGCCAGGCGAACTGCTAGGGGGAGGAGGAGATGAGACTTGGTGTGTGCGAGGAATGATAGCTAGATGAGAGGGGGTGAAATGGGAAGAAAGGGAGAAGTGGGGTAAAAACTCAAATAGACCTCTGGACGCGAGTATAGATTCGGCCCGAGGGGATTGCTACTGAGAATGATTCCTCTAAGTAAAAGTGTGAGGGGAAATGTAGAAACTAATAAGGGTAACTGAGACTAAAGGAATACGCGAAAGCCGAGAGCCGAAGCTGATGCGATGCGAGCGTGAGCGAGCCGCTGAAGGTTCAACGATACAGCGAGGGACAAACAATGCTCCTGACTGTATCTATAAGTGTTGTAAGGTCGCGCGTTGCCTAGTCTGCTATACTTGAGACGACAAGTGCGTTCGACCCTAAAGGGGAAGCGAGTCCAGCAAGGATCTAGTAGTAGGCGCCAAAGGGTGCTACTGATTGGTGAATGCAAAGTGCAGGTGCGCGCGAGGCGCGGGAATGTGCGCGCGTGTATGCGGAAACAAGAGAGAGTAAGAGTGAGTTGGCTTAAGTGATGATTGGACACTAGACAAGAGGTGAGAGATGCAAGCTGAGAGATGTTATATGCGAGGTGCCGAGGAATAGATTTCAACTATGCTCTGGTGTGTAGTAAATGGGTATTGTTCTGGTTCAGTCCTCTGTCGTTTTTGGTGGGTGAGTAAGTGAGTAATAGTATGTACTGCTGGCGCTTAAGTATGGCGCCTAAGCGCTGTCATGCGGAGCCGAAGCGCTACCGAGTAAGGTATGTAAAGATATATGTAAGTAAGGGTCCATGATAAAAATAAAGATGGAACGATAAGCAAATGTGAGAAATGGAAATATACGCACTAGGGAACTTGGCGGACAGTGGATGGATGCTTCCGGATGGCTGGCGCTATAGGGCGCTCAAGCGCGGGAAAGCTCGCGCACATATACATCGTGAAGCGCAGGAAGTTGCGCACACATTGCGCGATGCACAGTGTAGAGACTCATGCCTCTCCTTGTGCAATATTGCAGTTTTCACCAAGGAGTATACAGCACGAACTTGTAGCATCACTCTGTATGCTTCCTACAGCTATTCCTACATGAGGCGCAGCTTTCCTGCGCAATGCGCAACTCGCGCACGTGCCTTTCCCGCGCTTCACGATGTATATGCGCGCGCGCTTTCCCGCGCTTGAGCGCCCTATAGCGCCAGCCATCCGGAAGCATCCATCCACTGTCCACCAAGTCCCCTAGTGCGTATATTTCCATTTCTCACATTTGCTTATCGTTCCATCTTTATTTTTATCATGGACCCTTACTTACATATATCTTTACATACCTTACTCGGTAGCGCTTCGGCTCCGCATGACAGCGCTTAGGCGCCATACTTAAGCGCCAGCAGTACATACTATTACTCACTTACTCACCCACCAAAAACGACAGAGGACTTACTGGTTACTACCCACTATTTACCTAGCAGAACATAGTAGAAATCTATTTGTTTACACCTCGCATCTCCCTTCTCTTGTCTTACATCATATCATCACCTAAGCAAACTCACTCTTACTCTCTCTTGTTTCCGCATACACGTGCGCGCATTCCCGCGCTTCGCATTGGCCAACCAGTAGCGCTTTCAGCGCATACCTCTAGATCCTTGCTGCACTCGCTTCCCCTTTAGGGTCGAATGCACTTGTCGTCTCAAGTATAGCAGACTAGGCAACGCATGACCTTACAACAATTATAGATACAGTCAGGAGCATTGTTCGTGCCTCGCTGTATCGTTGAACCTTCACCGCACCATGTACAAATTCCTCAACTGTTTGACCACAATGAAGAGGAACCATCGGAGCCTCAAGATGCTCTTCTCCCCGTCGCAACGGGTGAGATACCGTGTTCACAAGTTATACACGTAAGTTTCAAGTATATTTTGTTTATTTCTCTCAAACTCTATTATAGACAACGGGACCCGCACGATCGTCCAACAGACGACGACATACTCGACAATTACCTGGAACACCACATTTTACTCACGAGAGCCCCGTTGTTCCTGCAACAACACAGGCTGATGTCACTGCAACAATGCAGGCAACTCCGAGTGCAACTCCAAGCCATGCAGGAGCCTCAGGCGACAACCATCATTTCCAGGTTACAGGACCCATCCACGATCAGATCTTCAAGCACTCCAAAGAACTTGTCGTGGGCATCACCCTCACAAAGGACGTGATGGCCTTGTCTATGGCCGACAAGAAACGTATCATCAAGTCTATCATTCGAAAGGCGACACCCAAGATTCCAGGGCTTCAGGGTATGATCATTTTTTAATACTTTTATAACTAATGGACCAACAGGAATACCACACTGGGAGAATCAAACCAAGGACCTTGCAACAATCTGGCGAGCGGTAATTGTCATGTGCACGGCAGTTACGACCCTCACTCGAGAAGGTGTCATAATGGCCTACAGACTTTTCCCTCCGCAGGGTAGTCCAATCTCCCCCGAGACCTTCCGCATGGATCGTGTGAGACACCTCATTCGAAACAACACATTCATGCACGAATATTCGTTTAATGCGGTATGGTCTTCATTTCACTTTCAATCACATGTTGAGTTGTCAACAGGATGGGACACTGACAATTCACTCCAAGTTCAAAAATCACTTCATCCTTCACCTTGTCACGAGAATGGTATGGAATATGCACTTCCAACTCGACATTTTGCTCGTCTCACCACGCAGACAGCTGCACTTTGCGATGGGACTGGCCGGCGCAATAACGAAATGTGTGCTGGCGGAACAAGCACACCTGATACTCACTGCACCTAAGTCGTCCCCAGACACAGATGCTTTTACCTTTGAAATGATCTGTTCAGGTATGGATGATCTCACTGATGAGGAGAAAGTCGACTTGGATGGGTGGAAGGATCATATGGTCATTTGTGGGACGTCTCAACAGTGCAAGAATGAGCTCTCCGATTTCGACTTGGACTCAAACTCGGATATCGCGTGACATGTATTATAAATCACGATACTTGTATTATTAGTAGATCTGTTGTATATACATTGAAAATACGGCTCTTTACCTCACGAAATGCATTATATTTATTACTTAAGCACATCGGGCTTGAGACAAATGTTCAATTAAACCAAGATGAGTGTTTACAAACACCGCCCTGAGCTACACCAAATAGGCTTGTTCAGAACAAGTTCAGAACTTGTGTCGACCGACTTGTGTTTTTTTAGATGCTCTTCCCACTATTAGTATGAGCTCACGCCCGTTGTGCCTTCGGCACAATTCGAAGGAGTGCGTAGCACTCCTTCAGGGGAGGAAAATGAGTGTTGTTCCTTCGTCACAGGAAGCCAAGGAGGGCTACGCCCTCCTTTGGCTTCCTGGCCTCAGGCTGCATCCTAATAAATTGTGCATTTTGGATAATTTTGAAAATACATTTATGAGCAGTTCAAAAAACTAAAAGTACAATCTACCACCACATAAAGTACATAGTACATAGTACATAGTAAGATCAGTCAGTTCTACATTCTTTGAGCAGGATTCTGACAAAATTACAAAATATATAACAGTATCATTGAATGTATTTATTTTCCCATCTTTGCCTGTCGGAAAAAAGTTCCCAGGGTTTTAAGGCCTTGCAAGACATTTTAATGCTCTATTTGGAGGGTGTCCTTATAAGGGCTTTTAAATGGGTAAGATAATATTTTAATGCCCATTAAAAGGCACTTATAAGGGCCCTTTTGATGACCTTATGTTGAGTTTTGCCTCGCCGTGCCTCAGAACGGCCCATTAAAATGCCTTGTACTGTATTCATTCGACCTTAGGTTTGTGGGGGTCCCGGTGTGACATGACATAATGGTAGGTTCGCATGTTCGTCTGGCTGAGGGTGGTGTGACAGAAGTATTAATAGGTTCGTATTTACATGTTTTTTCTACATAATACACACACATGCAATGAAATGTAACGCAAAGAGGTAACTGTTTCAATATTCAAGGTAAAAGAGGTAGAAAGTAAGTAGAAAAACATGGTAAAATTATAATTTATGCCACCACCCATGAACAAAATGTCACACATTTAGGTTCGCTACCCTCAATTTGGTGTGACTGTCACACGAAATAGGTTCGGTTCGGGGGCTCAGCGATGCTGTGACGAACCTAAGGTCGAATGGATACAGTAAGGTTTTCTTAAGGTGCTGAGCTGGACTTGTAATCTGGCAGTATTACAATGGTACCTAACTTTTTTCCGACACCTACCCATCTCCCAATTGTCTCCTACATCCTCCCGTCTCCTGTCTCCTGTCTCCCGTCCTACATCCTCCTGTCTCCTGTCTCCCGTCCTACATCCTCCTGTCTCCCGTCTCCCGTCTCCCGTCTCCCGTCTCCCGTCTCCCGTCTCCCGTCTCCCGTCTCCCGTCTCCCGTCTCCCGTCTCCCGTCTCCCGTCTCCCGTCTCCCGTCTCCCGTCTCCCGTCTCCCGTCTCCCGTCTCCCGTCTCCCGTCTCCCGTCTCCCGTCTCCCGTCTCCCGTCTCCCGTCTCCCGTCTCCCGTCTCCCGTCTCCCGTCTCCCGTCTCCCGTCTCCCGTCTCCCGTCTCCCGTCTCTATGTCCTCCCATTCTCCCATTTTTGAGTCCACATTGTCTTCAGTGTCTCCTTTGATTTTGATTTTTTCACAACCTTCTGTCATTCATCTCTTGTCACCATATATTTGTTTTCCCCCTGTCTGTAATTGTATTATACATTGTTTCATTATTTGATGTATGTATACAGATTGTTACAAGTAACATCGGTCACGTGGCCCCCCCTATCATTTTCCCTTCATCCTTGCCCTCACCATCTACCGGCTCGTCCTCCTTTACCGATTCTCCGTTGACCGGATCCTCGGGACCGTTCCCGTCCCTCGCATCGCCCGCCTCTATGCACGTGCACGCACGTTCCTCCCCTGATTCGACCACCCATGTGGTCCCGCACCTATGACTCGGTCTGACTCGTGCCACCAATGTGGCTTTCCTCTTTCTGTTTCCCCTGACTGCGGATTCCCGCACGTTGTATTCTTACCGTTGGTTTGTTCCAACGTTTCTCGGTCTCATTCCACATTCAACCACCCATCACTAATCCGGCCATGTTGCCAACGCACCTATACCATTCTCGTATCCCCTTTACCCTTACCTACTGTGCGGTAGCCTTGCCCTTAACCCTTTCCACTTAGTATAAGTAGTCGGTCACCATGTACTAGATTCTCTAACTTGAATCTACTCAATCTTCCCTGGAACATACTTCCCTCTGAACGCCCCTTTGGCTTCAGTCTCTAGTATCTTTTCTTAGTTGCTCATCGCGACTAAGTCTACCTCGATCGACCTCATCGTACGGACAAGACTGTCCTTACCTTGAGCGACTTCTAAGACATCCATCTCAGAAGTCACGTGACACGCGCGTACTGTGATCACTGCCGACTCGTCGTCGCCAGTCTCACTTGCTACACCGGATCCTTCCGGTTACGTCACGAACGTTAGCGGACGACGCCCCTCTTAGGGCTCTGCCTAACAGATCTATTTGAGTGCGTAACACAGATACTACCATAACAATTACAGTAGGGAAAAACTCATCTGCCTTCCCCTGCTCAAAGACATCTTTTTAATTATTTAATGCCATGTACATATACAGTTACCAATGTCGTGCTAAGTTCCCAACTGGCGACGCTATTTGAGTCGGCACTCGAAAACACGTGACAAAACCACACGAGTTGCCAAATCAAGGTTAAGCGAGCTAAGCGCAAACCACATGGCCTTTAGCGAAATAGGCGAAAGCCATGCGAGCACCCAACCATTTCCGAAAACCGTCGTACTTTACTTCTTAGACAAGTCCACACCCATTCTGCCTTTGGCACAGGAAGCAAAAAAGAGGGCTTCGCCCTCTTTTTTTAGCTTCCTGGCCTCAGCTTCATCCCAATAATTCAGAAGGCTGCATCCTAATAAATTGTGCATTTTGAATAAGATCATGCCTTGATAGTAGTGGATTTCAAAAAAACTGAAAGTACAATCTACCACACCATATAAAAGTGCATAGTACATAAGATCAGTCAGTTCTGCATTCTTTGAGTAGGATTTTGAAGAAAGTAAAATTACAAAATATGTAACAGTATCATTGAATGTATTTATTTTCCCATTTTCCCCTGCCCCCCATCTCCCATTGTGTCCTGTGTCCTCTCGTGTCCCATGTCCCGTGTCCCATGTCCCGTGTCCTGTGTCCTGTCTTTCTATCCTCCCATCTCCTGTTCTCCAATCTCCCATTCTCCCTGTTTCCCATTCCCAATTTTCTGTCTCCTCCCATCTCCTGTTCTCCAGTTGTTGAGTCTCTACATTGTCCATTTCCTTTTTATTTATTTATTCACAACCTTTTCTCATTCATTTCCTGTCACCATATATATCCTGTCTGTATCATATGTTGTTCTATTTTCAATTTTATCATTTACTGTATGTATGTACCATAGACAATTACAATAGGGAAAATACTTGTGTTGAGTAGTGCGCAGGCAGCGGCGATTGAGTCGGCACTCAAAAACACGTGACAAAGCCACACGAGTTTCCAAAAAGAGGTTTAAGCAAGGTAAGCGAAAAACATGTGGCCTTAAGCGTATCTAAGCGCATCTAGGCGAAAACCACATGGCCCTACGCGAAAACCACGCGAGCGCGCGAACGTTTCTGAAACCTTTCTCCCTTTCTTCTTAAGATGGGACGTCTTCCCGACGGCATCACGTGAATTGCCGGAAATTGCCGGTTGGTCTACTAATTGTCGCAGAAAGTCTGGGAATCCGAATTTCCGGCAGTCTCCGTCCGGCTGCATGCGGGTCTGTCCGGATCCGTCTGTGCACGACTCGTCAGTTCTTAACGTCGTGTCATACAATGAACGCATTTTCATGACTCGTTACTGTCTTGAATACATCAAATTAGTGATCTTCCAGCCTGGCCTCACCTGACTATTACAGCTTTGTGCAGCTGCAGATATAGTTTGAGCTTTCAGATGGGCTTTTTGCCTGTCCTTCTCGTGCACCGGGCTGGCCGGCTTTCTTATCATCTACTACAGTTTTGTGCTAGCAGCTTGCCTACCAATCATTTGGCTCAACCGGCTTTCTCGTCCTCTATCAATGGTGTTACATTTCTGTGCTTGCCTGCTAATGGACTCATGCAGATTCTAAACTGTTACATATTTTCACTCATGACTCATGCAGGTATCTCTGAAATAAGTCTGGACCAAATCTGTGAGGGCTGCGGGCTCTGATGTTCCTATATAGTTTTGTTAATGTACTTATGTCGTGTCATACTCTATTGCATACAAAATATCTTGAGCCGGACAGACCCAGCCGGACTCGGCCGGACGGACCCGGAAATTCGAATTCCCAGATGCCCTCAATTGTCGTAGGAAACCAGCAAGGTAATTTGATATGGTACAGGTGCCGAGACGTAGGTGCGGAGTTTCCCGGCACCACACTTCCAGCTGAGCGCTAGCGCAATCTTCCTTCGTTCGTTTTTCGACCTACCTACGACGTCGAGCTACACATCCTTCATCCTCTCGCTCACGATACTTATCGTTCCTTGCTCCCACCCACCACTTCCTCTTAATTAGACTTCGAACCGTTACTACTCCGTATTTCATTAGTATCTTAATCATTGGTGTATAAAGACGCTTATCTTGATCGCACCGCACAAGAGTTAGAACACGACCACATTCGTAAGCAGGTTTCCCGCCCACCCAGCGGCTCCACCTGCTTGCGTCCCCCCCGAGCTAACGCTGGACCGCCCAACACAAATAGGTCGTGTCCCAACTCTCACTGAGCCAGACGAAGCTGGACATTTGTGCATGTACACAATACGCAGCCAACGGAGTATGCCGAAATTGTTGCAGAGAAAAACAGAGAGTGGCACGTTTGTCTGACAAGGCTCTCACTCGTCACAACTTAATGTTTGGGTCAAGCAAGGTTTCTGCCGACGCAGGCGGCAATTCACGA